TCCTACCTATGCAATATTTAATCTACTTGGATTAAAAAAAAATCCAACAAAAATCTCAGCGGTTAAAATAAGACTCCTGCACATCTTCTGAAAGGTACGTAGTTTAATTAAAACAACCTTTGAATCTACCCTGATTAAAACCAAGACTATAGTACGTTGTCGAGGACCGGACTTTGAGACCTGTGCTTGAGGGTAGGCTACAGTGGCACACAATCTGTGGCGCAAACCACTGACAAGCACAGAAGAGTTTGTTCATACAGCAAGTCATTTGAGTTGAGCTGGGCATTATCAGCGGTCATGTCCACATTGTCTGAGGGCTCTATTTTTCATGATTTTGCATTCACATTTTGGTAAGCTAGTTAAATTTTCCTGACGTTTCTCTGAAAATAAGACCTAAATCCTGCAAACGTGTGGGCAGCTAGTTTAGATCTGAAAAAACAAAATTGCGCTTGGTTAAATTGTATTGCCTTTTAATGCCCCCGAAATCGTGCTCGTCAAAATGTGAAGACCATAAATCTTAACAATTCGATTTCTAGTAGTTTGCTTAGTACACTTGACACATTCAGTATGGCGGATCTGCCGACGTATCGTAGGAAAACGCCAACCAAACGATGGCGCCGATCTAAATCAATACGTAGCTAAAACGTCACGCGTTGTCCAGCAGAGCTGCCCGCTTTGGTCGCCAGGGGGCTGCATTGAATTTGTTTTGACGTAACCTGTTTTATGTAATAAATCCAAACTAAGTGTTGAATAGTACAATTAGGAGTGATGTATTTGAAGTAATCATAGAGTGATCAGTCATCTTATGATTTTTTGATACACAGTAATTCTCTTGTAATAAAATTTTGCACAGTACACAACATCGTGCACTGTACATACCAGTGGTGAACAGTCAGGGCCAGTAGTAAGACTCTACTCTCTTCATTTCGTAGCATTTCTCTTGACTGCACGTGGATTTTTGTGGCTGTCTAGACTTTTTTTGTCCAATCAGATTCCAGCCTCTCTGTGTTCCCATGTCAACCTAATCTGCCCTCACAATCTGTCGTGCGGTCTGATGTAATTCATTCTTTCGGTATCCATGCCACTTATCCTCGTTTTATTTAAATTAACTGTTCTCGTAATTTTTATTTGTATTGTTCTCATTCACTATTCAGGCTAAACGTATTTTACACATCTAATTTTATTTTACAAAGATTTTTTTTTCTGTATTAAATTCAATTTCTATAACACTTTCATGGGTGTGACACATTCACAATTCAATCTATTCTATTAATGTAATTATCGTTTAATTTGATTTACCGGTAGTTAGATTTTTTTGTCTAATAATAATAATGTTTAAATTTGTAATTTTACAAGTTTGGCCCCATTAACATCCAAATGATTAATTATAAAGTATTTAAAATATTACATGTCATCATCTTAATTTCAATTTAACTTCTCTGTGTGAGATTGTAGTTTAATAGTATGATACTTTAACCGCTGGCCGAGCCTTCGTTCTCCCAAACAGTATGTCACTGTATAAAAACTGCCGTGACATTCCATTACGGAACAATGATTAGAAAACATGATTTAAGGACAGGGAATGTACACACTGGCACCGGAGGTCATTTGGGAGCCAAACGTTTTTCAGGCTCCACCGCCACAGTACAATTTTCGCCGAGTCAGCAAGTCATAATTCAGCCTAAATGCGGAGCTCGGGTTTTGCACAATGTGCACTAAATTAACTCCTTGGCGCTTTGTTGTTTGGTGTGACATTATTATAGGCTGCCTTTGGCAACCCGGGCCAGAGTCGCTCGAGTCTTATCTGTTTCATTAGCAGCCAGCTTCTTACACTTTGGCTGCCCTTGGCTTCGAGGGGGGAAGAATAGCGCTTTGTTCCTCCTCAACTGGAAAGGTAAAATACAAAGTAAGCGAGGAAGTCAAAGAAACGACTTGGCGGCTGTTGTTGTTGAAATAAATGTTACTCATTTCCCATAAGGCCTTTCCTTCTCCTGCGCTGGGGAGGGCAGATATATGGCTACGCACGCAAACACCATTAGCCAGTAATCGGCCCTTTGTTGCCTTGGGCTGGCTAATTAAATCTTATTAAAAAGCCTAATCTTGATAGCACTGTAAGCACAAAGACTTTTGGTCCTGGTGGAATAAAGCTCAAAGTTGTTCTTTGATAGTTAATATATGCATGCTTGTCAACCAGCATTACAAATAAAGACTCCGTAATTGTTTGTTTATTTGTGTTATGGTTCCCAAAATATCACCGATTTGAAAGCAAATTAGGCAGCAGAATTAGGAGCAGTAGAGTGCAACATGTAGGACATTTCAGCGCACTTGTTGGAAAACGTTGGCGTTCTATGAGGAAAACATGTTACTTGTACTATTCGTGACATTATAAGTTTGTAACATCCAGCGCTACGCTCGTAGAATTAGTGTTGTGTGCACATGTCAACTAGTGTTTAGATTTGCCTCACCTTTAACATGAAGTTGACTTTTTTTTTTTTTTTTTTTTTTTTTTTTTTACTAACCCCCTTAACCCAAATTTGGGTTAAATTAGGTTGACCCAGCAGGTTCAATTGAAGACTGGATTTGGGCAGACTTGCCATTTTGGATAAGTGTACTGAATTCGAAGTTGTAGCGTAACATTCTGAGAAAGTATGTTGGTAATAAAAGTACTATTATTTTTAACCACAGCGAGACTGATAACCTGGTAACCATTTTTTTTTTGTTTTTTTTTGGTAGCTTTTATGTGAGTAATGGGGATTTTTGACCCCCTTATTAGATCAAAATCTTGACCCAAAGTGCTGGGTCAAATCCTTAAAACAGGTCCTTGCGGTCAGGGTACGCAACTGAGGCAGTGCCACCATCATCTGGCCATTCTCTACATGTGCAGAGTAAAAAAAGAGAAGATAAAGGAAAACAAACTTATAATGTTCTGTAACACTTCTTTACATTGATTTTGATTTCAATCCAGCATGAATTTCATCGATAAAATAACTGAATCTGCATTTCTTGTTCAAATGCGTGGGCAAGAAGTGAAGAGGGATCGAACGTTGAGCCTCCAATGACCACCCACACGTTAATTGCCAACTCGTGAGGCTGGTGCGAGCACTCACACAAAAGACTTTTCTGTTTGCCTTTCTGTCTTCTTTTTTTGGGTTCATATTTTTATATCAAATTCCAGAGGGGGTAATGCCTCATCAGTCATGAACCTCACTGCACATCGCTGTCCTCAACCCAATTCGGTGGCCTTAAATAACTCAGTATTGAATGAGTCCCTTTTCGACCCATAAGAATAACATTATCTCAGGTCATTTGAGCAAATGTGTTATTTTGGAAATGCGTATCAAACTGGTAGCACATCACACTAATCAATACTGACAAAGTACAGCAGCTCTCAGCTTCATGCTGGAAATCAAGAATGTAAAATAAATGATCAAAAACCTTTACACAGTAGTTAAAATCATTACTAGTACTGTAAGATACAGTCGCTCTACTTGTCTTCTATATTATCTTTCGGGGAGATATAGTACTAGTGCACCGCTAAAGGATGGTGAATAAATGCACAAATGAGTTTCCGTACATGTCAGTGTCAGTGTGGAGGTCAAGCAGGCAAAAAACAACATGTAGGTAGGGGGCATTGTCTGAGCGGAGGTACGAAAGGGGGAATGTAGTGTGGAAATATGAGCTGGGGAGCAGGGCGAGTTGGAGGGGGGGACTCCTGCCAGCTCCCATGAGATCACATGTGACAAAGGAGCGCCACCTCCTTATAAATCTGCCGCTTTATTGCATCTCCGTCCCTCCTCCCTCTTGCGCAATATCTCCCAAATGGGATCCAAATCAATGTTGATTGTCTGGCGTGTGCTGTATGACCCCACTGGAGTTTTGACACTTTAGCAGGCAATCACACTCAATGCTCACACTTTAAAAAAAAAAAAATCTATTTTTTTTGAAGGGGAAATAAATCAAGCAGTGATAAAGTTTTACAGTTTAGAAACACATCCACAAAGCAGATAAACCGGGTTGTAATTTCATAAAGAGTAAGGAACAACGGCCAAGATAATCTCGTCCAATAGGACTTTGTTTTGCTGTTAAGGTTGTTTTTGTCTTGCACGTTGTATGTCATAGTAAAATGTGTTTTGGATAGTGCACTGAAACAATAAACATAATATTAGCCTAGGATAAAATCATTGTCATGGATTTTTACAGTATACAGTACAAGCAAGTCTATGTAGTACCACATTTTGCCACAAAATGCCATGCAGCACTGAGCTCCGCTGGAACACATGCAGTGTGATACAAGAAGAAGAGAAAGCGGAGCAAATCAATGCTGTGGGGTTCATCAACCCGTCGATGCTACTCTTTGCACGCAACCTGAGCTTTCATTAAAATAAAATACAAGCAGGGACACTAACTGTGCAAGTTGAAACACTTAGTTTGAGAACAAAAAAAAAAAAGGAAGTATGTCCTCATCTCACATGGAAAACAAATCCGGACATTTTTTCCAGGTATCTTATAGAAAAACTAACAGATCTGAATAAAACATAAATTTCATTTTTAATTTCTGCCAAATCACATAAAACACGAGTTCGCCCCTCCTCTGGCACAGTTTCTAGAGTAAGAGGATAGATCCTATTTATAATATAAATACTAGCATATGCATTTTTTGAGCGATTAAATGGAATTAAAAACAAGTTGACACATGGTGACATGATTTAGCTCACGCCCTTTCGACAAAAAGCTCGGACGCCTGCTTCCCGTGTACCTCGGGAATCAGCACACTCTTTTATGGAGTGCATGATGTGATCAATAAAAAGCCCGATCGTGTATTGAACGTTGATTTTAAAAATTAATATTAATTATGAGCCATCTTAACAGCCTTTTGGTCAGAGACGCTTCACTTTGGCCGAAATCCTCTTATTGATGCATTGTGTCCCTGTTAAAATTTTACAATTCCCAGTATCTTTGAATGCGACACACTCCCTCCCTTCCCAGTGTGTTTGCAGGTTCAACAGAACAGAACAGAACAGAACACGACAAGCGACTAGCATGGCGCTCGGTGGACGCGCTCCGACTTGTCTTTGCTCGCATCTCCTCCTCTTCGTTTAACTTCTAAAACCGCTACAACCTCAACGTGGACGCGCCAGAAGACAGATTAAAACCTCCGGGAGACATAGTAGAACACATTTTTCGATTTTTTTTTTTAAGAGGAAGAGGGGAACGACTAGTAGTAGTAGTAGTAGTAGTAATAGTAGGGGGAAGCTTGCTAACTAGTAACGCTAGCCATAACTGGGTGATAAAGGACACAAGAGGTAGTCGAAGAGGTAAGTGTGCTAATCGGGTTGAATTGTTTGCGATTTCTGTCCGATTCGCCCTTTCGGGGACCATTTCGAGTGGTGTTAAACTTGCCACTAAGTTCCTGCTAGCTGCCTGCAACTACTTGCATGTAGTTTTACCTTACTAATAGCAATGTTGCCCAAGTCAGGTGGACCGTTTTCGAAAAAAAAAAAAAAAACCCAAACAAAAAACTAAACAAAAAGAAAAAAACACAACAACAAACAAAAAGTGTCCAGTTGCCTTGATTCAATCACTGCTGATTACCATAACTAGGATGGCTGAGAAGCTAGAAAGACAAATTTTAGCAGGTACATTTGTATTTTTTTTTTAAATTGATGTTTAGTTGTGACGGTGAATTAAAATGACTTGGGAAATCATGCTGTTAGGTTAACAATATTGTGTTTTTGTTTGTTGTAGGTTTTGTTTAACCCCAAAATTTGCTTTCTGACCAGAATGTGGTGTGTAAAAGAGCTTTTCTGTGAAAAGAAACACACTACACAGTGACTTTTACACAATAATTTTTTGCTTTTGTGAATCATCCAACTATAAAACAAGAAAAAACAAGCCTGAGAAAGGGATTTTGATCACAAAATGCTATATATATATTTTTTTTTTACAGACAGAGTCATTGACTCACTGTACGGCTTGAGTTAATCGTGAGAGGATTTTTTCACAACCGCGACACATATTTTGTTTATATCATACATATACATACTCTGTTTGACTTAATAGCTTGTTGGTGGTTCTCTCCCTCATAATAAATGTGACAAGCTGAGGTGCACCCACTAATCTTTGTCTTCCACTCAAAAGCGGTGTTGATCCAAATCCAAAAGGATGCAACACTGCCATCTACTGGGCTCTGTAAGTTACTACTGTGGTTTACACACCTGAATTTCACAGACAAGCTGGGCAAAATCTTCTTCAACATGTTGAAGAACGTACATGACGGCTATATTCGTCGAAGGAAGTAATATTCTGGTTAACGAACATTAAGGTCCACAGTTGTAAATACGTTAATCAGGTACTTTACAAATACAGTATTGTGTTAAGAAGCCCATTTTGTTGAAGAATCCGAGTTATATTTCTTGGCCAAGAATATTAAAAACACACAGAAGCTACATTTGGGATCATTTAAAAATATACGTTGATGACATATAGAGGAAATACATTTGCAATATGACATATGATTACTTATTAAAAGAGTAATTAATATTGCTAGACTTTCCCTCCCACCTTGTTGTATGTAGTTCCATACTATTGCCCAGGACGTGCAGTGAACTTGTTGGGGAGATGAGATGCGAGCTGAAATATCCTCTGGTGATGTCACATTGCATTGGGCTTAGTACAGTACAGTAGTTAGTTCCATCCTAGCATGACACAGCCAATCACGTCAAGTGCCTGCACTCTGTGGCTCAATTCATAAGCGCTATTAGAGCAATGCCAGAAAAAAAAAGCCATTTCTCTCCAAATTGCATATGAATGCGGAAGCACTTGAAGTTGCAGTGCCTCTGATTAACCCCATGTTTATTTTGCCTCATTTTTATCGCAGAGCCCTTGCGTTTATCCAAGGCTGTGCAGATTTTTTTTTTTTTTATGTCCACTCTGTGTAAGACCGTTTTAAATGTCACGACATAATTTATTTGTGGACCCCCAGGGGTCTTGTGCCACAATTTGAGAACCAGTGCTTTACAATACAGTATAAGACAGATGAATCCATCCCTCCTAAATTGTTCAAGTAGATAAAAAAATATTTATTTCAAGGGCAACATATCCTGTCACAATTCCGCCATCAGAGAACAAGTGGGTTCACAGGTCGCAGGTGCTTCTAGCCGCTTTGCGGCAAATTAGATTAAACGTGAACTTTAAGCACCTGTGAGTTACTCTAATCAGGCTACGGTTGAGGTTCTAGGTGCTGTTTTTCCACTTTTGTGGGACTAAAATCATCCATACAATTCATGCATGAGTGAGTTTGGTTAAAGAGTAATTCGGGATGTTTTTTTCTTCTTTAAAACAGATTCATCAACCCTGTGGGGCCACCGAGAACATTCCCAGTTGTTGTTGATGAACAATATTTCCTATAGGGAATAATAAAAATGCAATTACTGTATTAATTACATTTCCAGGGTCTGGCATGCATTATCATGGAACTTAAAATTATTATTCAGGAAATTTAAAAGTAGCATGTTCAATTTTTTTGAAGGGTCATTCAGAGTAAACTGCTAATATGTTGATTTTCTGAGATGAATTTTTCCTTGGGAAATTATGATCGAGGAAAAAAATATTATACATATACAGTATAATCCTCTCACATCATACTTGGGAAGAGAACTGAGAAAAAAAATGTATATTAAATTGCACTCGTTAAATTGAGGGGAGGGGGGGCAATCTTAATTAAGGCGGATGATTTTTCAAAATCATTCAGTACAAGTATGTCATCGGCGGTTATTGCATCAGTTTACAGTACATCAGTCATATGTGGTTGCTAGGCATGGATCCCGTGACCTGGTTCTCGGTACTGTTGATTAATCTGCACGTATTGACCCTCTTTTGCAGCTCATGCACAGGCCATGGCTGTAACCGAGGGATGGGAGTGACGTGACGCGAGTGGAGTGAGCGGCATGTTTCTCTGCTGAAGCGATCAAAGCGAAGCACTCGCAACCATGGACGAGTCAGTGCTGTTGGACCTGCTGGAGTGCCCCGTGTGCCTGGAGCGTCTAGACGCCTCGGCCAAGGTTCTGCCCTGTCAGCACACCTTCTGCCGACGCTGCCTGCAGGGCATCGTGGGTTCCCGCGGCGAGCTACGCTGCCCGGAGTGCCGCACGCTGGTGGAGTGCGCCGTGGACGAGCTGCCCAGCAACATCTTGCTGGTGCGCCTCCTAGACGGGATCAAGCAGAGGCCACGCAGGGCTGCGCCCGCGGCCGCCAACGGCACCGCCGGAGCGGTGGCACGGGCGCACGCCGGCGGGACCCGTGGCGATCAGGGCGCCCCTGGAGCCCAACCGCAACGGGCCCAGGCGAAGAGCACTCTAGTCCGGGTGAGTCTACTCCCTCAAGTCTTTAATCGGTCCCGTACTGCATTTATATATGACAATTTTTTTGTTGAATAATAATGAGGTGATCAATGATTTAATGGTAAGAAAGAATAAATACCCACGTTTTAGTTAATTTTCGGGGGGGAGGGTGCCAACTTAATGCAGCAAATATTACAGGACTGTTGATCATGTAAATGTTCGGTGGTCTGGATTAAAGAAGAGAGCGGGTTGAGATCGACTTCAGTCAAGCTTTCGTGCTTGTTTTTGTAATGCGAAATGACGTGGGAATACCCGGAGAAAACCCACGCAAGCGCAGTGAGAACATGCAAATGCCACACAGGAAGTCTGGCGCCGATTTGCAAACCCCAACAGCAAATCTTGGGAGGCAGAAGCGCAAACCACAGGGCCCACCGTGCTGACACCCCCCCCCGAGCAGAAACAATACAGTGCAAATCTGCGTGGATTGAAAGCGGCACGTTGCATTAGCGCCGCTAATCTTCGGCGCGGATTAACTGCGATCAGAGTGAAATGGAAAGCAGCCGGTTGACTCACGGACGTGATTGAGACCAGTTAATAATTTAACACACGAGGTTTACTGCTTTCTGCACCAGCCGACGGTTTTCCGATAATGAGATTTCTCGCATTGACATTTTTGTATTTCCTCCTCCCTGTCTTGAGCGATTGCTTGAGGGTCCATTCAACGGTGCCGTTTGTCAATGAACTTGGGCGATTCAGGGTGGGACCCGAAGGCCGCTCAGTGTTATCTCCACTTGTAAAGCTTACTTGGTGAAACTGGAACATTCCTGGAGCCTGTGTGCAGAATTACTCAACCAGATGAGAGTTTACTTTTTTTTTTTCCCGCTCCTTCACCTCAATCAACACAACATTTGATTTGCAGAAGTCTCACAAGATATTCCGGTGTTGAGATTTGACAGTCTCGCCAGATGTCGTCGCCTTGCGAGTAACTGAAGACTTGTGAGATTTGCTCAAATCTCACGAGAGATGCTGAAGTCGCAGTAGATTTGCACAAGCCGTGGAAAAAAGGTGGACTTTTCGCAGAGTTTCTGTGGTTGTCCGACCTAACTGAGGTTGGCTTTGGCTTTTGGCATCGGAGTATTTGGACGATGGCATTTCACAGATGTGGGAAGACACAGAGGAGCTGTTTTAAATCTGGAAAGGCGTGCAAAATAAGTCCACGTATATCCTAAAGTGACAATGTGTTCGTCGTTCATTGTTCTCGGTCGTCACGCCGTTATTGAATTAAAATCGAAATTGTTGACGTTTGATCGCTTCCCCAATTTAATAGACCAAAGTGGCGTGAGTATTATAATCGCCTCAAGTCTCGGTGGCAGTTTTGGTGGTGTTTAGCAGACAGAAAGTCGGCTGATTTTTATAAACATTGTCGCCCAAGAAACCAAATGTGTTTTACGAGAATTTTCTCATGCCCTTCATCTATTTAAATAGCGTTCATGAAAGCAGTAGTTAAACTGCCCCCGGGAAACAGTCGTACATTTATGAGTACATTTTTGTGTTGTTTACCTTGTAAATCAACTGATAACGTATGCTAACACCTTAATCCATTTGTAAACCTATTTGGTGTCTTACCATTCCACAAGACCCCCCGAAAAAAGCAAAAGGCAAAATATTTGAAGGGCCCCTTGTTGTGAGTAGCTTTGACCTGCGCACAAAAAAAGGGGAGGATAGGGTTGATGAAAAGATGTAAAATCATCAGAATGTCAACAGGCTGATAATGGATCGCCCCGGTCCGAGATCAGAGGCCCTCCTGTAAATTGCTACTGGGCGACCCGCCTTGCTGGCTACAGTATCGCTCTATTCATTCGTGCTCCTTTCAAAGCTTATTTGGGCTTTTGGGAATTTCCCTTGGCTCTGTACAGCCCCGGTCTCTGTGGACATCTCTTACGCTTGCAGGGCGTGTTGACATTTGACACGTCTTGGTCCGCTTCAAACAAACGATGATGTGATTTGTCTGATGATGATGTGCTTTGCTTGATGAATTGTCAGGGCCATTGTTCAGCTGTCCATACAAACGCAACAAGTTCACTAATAAACAGCATTTTAATTTTTTATTTTTTTTTTTAAGGGAAGTTTACGTTTTGTCGTACGATACAGTATATGCCACGTTTCAACTCCAGTCAGGTTGCGTTAACAATGACTGTGAGATTGGCAACACGAAAGTTGCATTCAGTTCGCCACAGGGTGGTTCGGCTCGGGTGAAACCCGACCTTGACTTCAGATGTGGCATGAAATCATCCTGTACCGGTGAGACGGCATCATGGCAGTAAGACTGCTTGCTTGCTGCGTTATAATACCACTTCACCGTGTGTGCGCTTCTGCAGATGTTTCCTATTGTCCTTCTTGGCCAGTCATCACGCCTTGCGAAAATAGTTTTTTCTGTGTCTGCTCGGCCGTCGCGAGGCGTTCCTCTAATGCCGGACAAAAGCCTGGCGGTGCAGGTGGAAGGTCTTCGTGACATGAAAAGGCCGTGGATCAAAGCTGAAGCCGATTGGCCGCTCTGATTTCCCCCCCGTACCCCATCACCCCACGGGCCGGTGCTCCATGGGGTCTTGAGCGCGCTTCAGTAACCCCGTTCGACACCTTTCGCTTCACTTCTTCATTGTCAGATGGCCAACAATGTCCGCCTGGAAGCAGCCCGTTTTGGATGTCCAGCTCCACCTCCGATTTTTGTCTGGCCGGGAGGGCCGATGAGCTGCCTGACAGATGCACAACAGGGTTTTGTCTCGGGCCCCCTTCTGATCTCACTGCTTAGCCGACACCGAGCGGAATGACTGGTAACAGAAGACGATGGGTGTGATAAGTAATGACGTCGTGACCAAAAGGCACAACTGTTTAGTGCAAAATCAGCTCTGCGCCCCCACTCCTCTTAACACCATCTCCAGGGCTGTGGCAGTTGTTTGACACTCTTTTCTGGCATTTGCTTTTAGTTAGTGTAGTGGGGGAAGGGGGAGCGAGGGCAACGAGGGCGAGGGGGTGGTCTGCTGCAAACCTTCAGTTTGATGATTCACATCCCATGCTGCTTGGTAACATGGATGTTTTGACTTCCCCTTGCCCTCATTTACCTTGTATAACCATGTTTTGTTTTGTTTTTTTCTTTTGCCAACGTGTATTGAGAACAGATGGCGGGCCAAGCAATGCAACAAGCCGTTGGTTGCTGACTAGGAGTCAGAGATTCGAGTTTATTGTAGTCATGGGTTGGAGCCAAAGAGCGACGGAGGGGAGGGTTTAACGTGGGAGATTTGCCTGGGATGTCTTCACTTATCATTACGGTCAGTGTAGTGGAAACAACAAGTTTGCCGCTTGGCTTTTATAAACCACAAAGAGGTTCCTCATTCCCACCGGCTGAATATTATGGAAGAGGAGAACGACTTTGCCTCAATTAAAGGTGGTACAGATCAAGTGACAACGAATAAGGCAAGAGGCCTCCTAAATTGTAAAGTCTTCAGTCATAAGCTGCCAAAGTCTGACATAAAAGCAGTCGCAGAAATAAAATAAAATAAAATAAAAAAGATGTCTCCTAAAAGATTATGCTAAGCGATTATCCTGCGGTGTGGGATGCGTTGAGTGATTATTCCTCGGGTTAAAAAAAAAAAAAAAAAAAAAGATTCGCGTCGACGATCATAAGTTTTGATAGTTCTGATGGCAAATGCTTATATGCGTGCGGTCAACGCAGGGTTGCGCCGAATTGCACATTTAAGGTTTGTTGAAGGATGCTCGCGATTGATGGTTGAGATAATCGTTTGGTGTGCGGTGTGCTGGGTTGCCCGTGTCAAGGTAGTGTCGGGCTATACGGCCTAACTTTGATATCACTCGATTGATTTACCCACTTAGTTTATAAATGTGTCAAACTGGACCAGACAAAATTGATTGATATTAAAAAAAAAAACTTCAGACTTGTTTCTCATTGACACAGCGGCAATCATAAATCCCCAATCGGAGACCGATCGTGATCATGGGTGTTCCGGCTGCAGACGTTCACGGCATCGGGCGCAGCTGCGAGAGTTGTTCTACTCTGTCAAAGTGATGGATGACCTTCTTGTGTTTCTGTCGTCGTTAAAACAAAAACAGAACCCCAAAAAAAAGTTGACTTGACCCGTGGCAGAGGGTTGCTGTTACTTTTCCACAGCCTTCTTGATGTGAACACGTGGAGCCTCTTAATTCATTTGTTGCTCTTCGGTTCCGGCTGCTCTTTGCCCGCTCTCCGTTTTGTTGATGAGAAACAGGAAAATATTTTGTCCGAGGGACGTCATCAGGCCTCTGTGTCATGTAATGAAAGCCTTTAACAGTTTGTTTTTCTTTTTCAAGGCCTCTCACACGCACATCAAACAAACGGGACGCCGGGCGGCGGATTTTGTTTCCCTGTTATTTTTTGTCATTCACTCGTAGATTTATACCCTCGGCAAAAAAGAATGTTTGTGTTTTTCTTCTGCGGAGGTTGTCATTAAAATTCCTGCACGCCTCCCTCATCTGAGGTCGATGAGTCACGCCGGCCCGCTTTGATGACGTCACGCTGTTGTCGAAGCCTCTCCTCGTGGCCGGCTGGCTGACCTCCGCCAGGGTGACACAAGCCCGTCATTACGCAGTCACACTGCACCTCAAAGATGGCAATCATGCCCATGAAAGCTTTCCATCGCTGGGATGTTTTCCCCAAAACGCTTTTGGGCTGCCATTCCTGATCACACGTAACTCTTGTTTCTCCAGGAGCCCCCCC